AGCGTGATCAACGACGAACACTCGAGAGAAGTGTTGATGAGAGGGAAATGCGAGAAGAAGAACGAGAAGATGTTACTACTCGCGCTAACGCGCGTGAATCCCGTGACGACCGACGAGAACTAACCCGGCGATTTGATTATCGCGACGAGCGATCAGCTGCTCCCATACGTATTGATGAGCGTGAGGAATGGCGAACAATCGATAGAAGTGTTGATGAGCGTGAAAGACGAGAAGAAGAACGAAGAGAGGCTACTACTCGCGCTGAAGGTCGTGACGACCGACGACAATTAACCCAGCGGTTTGATGATCTCCAAGAAGGATCAGATGCCACCAAACCAATTGATGAGCGTGAGGAACGGCGAGCAATCGGCAGAAGTGTTGAGCGAGAAAGACGAGAAGATGAACAGAGAGATGCTATCGCACGCGCTGAAAACCTTGAGGACCGACGAAATCTAGGTCAACGCTTTTCTGATCGCGAAGAACGATCAGTTACTACCAGAATGTTTGATGACCATAAGGAACGACGAACAATCGACAACAGGATTGATGAGCGGGAAAGACGAGACCGCGAGGAGCGATCAGCAGCTACCAGGCGGATTGATGAGCGTAAGGAGCGGCGAGAAATCGGCAAAAGTGTTGACGAACGAGAGAGACGAGAATTAAGCCAGCGATTTTATGACCGCGGGTATATATCTGTTAGTCCAAGCAGTTTCGATAATCGTGTGGATCGGCTAACAATTTCCAATGACGTAATTCAGCAAGAATCACGAAGGGATGAACGACGAGGCGTTATATCACGTGCTGATACCCGTGAGAAGCGACGAGAACCAACTCGGCGGTTAGATGAGCATGAGAACCGAAGATCACATGTCAGGAGTGTAGCTGAGCGCGAAAGACGAGAAGACGAAGGACAAGATGCTACCACACGCGCTGAATTCCGGAAGGTCCGTCGAGATGTTATCGCAGAACAATTTGCTCCTACCAAACGAATTGGTGAGCGCGAAGAACGACAAACAATCGATAGAAGTGTTGATGAGCCAGAAAGACGAGATGATGAACGAAAGTATGCTATTGTCGGGACTAACAACCTTAAGGACCGAAGAAATCTAGGTCAGCACTTTGCTGATCGCGAAGAAAGATCAATTACTTCCAGGCGGTTCGATGAGCGTGAGCAGCGACGAGCAATCGACGAAAGAATTGGTGAGCGAGAAAGACGATATGAAGTGAGAAGAGACGCTATTACTCTCCTTGAAGGTCGCGAGGATCGACGAGAATTAACCCAGCGATTTGATCGTCGCGAGGAACGATCAGCTGCTACCAGACGAATTGATGACCGTGAGGAACGGCAAGAAATTGGCAAAAGGGTTGTTGAGCAAGAAAGACGAGAAGATGAAAGACGATTTGCTATTGCAAGCGTTGACGCCCGACGAGAATCAACTCAGCGATTTAATGACCGTGTGGATCTATCTTTTAGTCCAAAAAGTTTCGATAATCGTGAGGACCGGCTAACAATTGCCAATGACGTAATTGAGCGAGAATCACGAAGGGATGAACGACGAGGCGTTATAGCACGTGCTGATACCCGTGAGAAGCGACGAGAACCAACTCGGCGGTTAGATGAGTATGAGAACCGAAGATCACTTATCAGCAGTGTTGCTGAGCGCGAAAGACGAGAAGACGAAGGACAAGATGCTACCACACGCGCTGAATTCCGGAAGGACCGTCGAGATGTTATCGCAGAACAATTTGCTCCTTCTAAACGAATTGGTGAGCGCGAGGAACGACAAACAATCGATAGAAGTGTTGATGAGCCAGAAAGACGAGGAGATGAACGAAAGTATGCTATTGTCGGCACTAACAACCTTAATGATCGAAGAAATCTAGGTCTGCGCTTTGCTGATCGCGAAGAACGATCAATTATTTACAGGCGGTTCGATGAGCGTGAGCAACGACGAGTATTCGACAGGAGTGTTTCTGAGCAGGAAATGCGAAAAGAAGGACGAAGAGATGCTACTACTCGCGCTGAAGATCGTGAGGACCGACGAGAATTAACCCAGCGATTGGATGATCGCGAGGAACGATCAGCTGCGGCCAGGCGGAGTGATGAGCGTGAGGAACGGCGAGCGATCGGCAGAGGTGTGGATGAGCGAGAAAGACGGGAAGATGATCGTCGATATGCTATTACACGCGATGACGCCCGACGAGAATTAACCCAGCGGTTTGATTACAGCGAGGATCTATCTCTTAGTCCAAGGAGTTTAGATAATCGTGAAGACCGGCAAACAATTTCCAGTGACGTAATTGAGCGAGAATCACGAAGAGACGAACAACGAGGCCCTGTAGTACGTGCTGATAATCGCGAGAACCGACGAGAACAAACTCGGCGATTAAATGAGCGTGAGGACCGAGGACTACATGTCAGGAGTGTTGCTGAGCGCGAAAGACAAGATGCTACAAGACGCGCTGAATACCGAGAGGACCATCGAAATGTTATCGCAGAACAATTTGCTGCTAGCGGGCGGTTTTATGAGCGTGAGGAACGACGATCAATCGATAAAAGTTTTGATGAGAGGAAAAGACGAGAAGATGACCGACGAGATGCTGTCACTCGCGTTGGAACCCTTGGATACCGGCGAGAGCTAGGCCAGAAATTTGATGATCGCGAAGAACGACAAACAATCGATAGTAACATTAATGAGCCAGAAAGACGAGAAATAGCTCGTAGGATTGATGATCGCGTAAAATATGGTGTGGGTACAAAGCATTTCGATGAGAGTGGGGAACGACGAGAAATTGCCAGTAGTGCTAATGAGTGGCAAAGACGAGAAGGCGATATATCTGCTTCTCAGAGGCATAATGAACGCGAAAATCGTTTCGCCGCTAACAGGCTTTCCGGGGATCGTGAGGAACGGGAAGTTACAAGGCTTGTTGACAAGCGCGACGCTTCATCGCGCGTTGCTGACAGCGAAAAAAATATTTCAA